GACCCTGGCGTTGACCTTTGACCTTTCAGCAGAGCGGAGGACGCTTCAGTCAAACAGATCCAATACAGTCATAATCAATACCCAGTCATCCAATTTAAACCGATGGTTTTAGGGAACATTCGATCATTGAGACGTGTATGTTACTGTATGTGGTGTGTCAATAATTATTAGATAACCGCTCACAGAAACAAGTAATCAATACTTTTATATTATAATTATAGTAGTAGGAACAACGTTAGCGAGAGAGCTATGCTAAGGGTTAGCAGCTAGATGCAGGTCTTTCTGCATTAGCAAGCAAGCTAACGTCAGCCAACTAAAATCCAGAAGGTTTTGTAGAGGTTCAAAACAGATGGTTGTGGTTTCCAGTGAAATAAAGTAAAAGAAAGTAAATAAAGGGTCTCGTGAGAGACGAGCGGCAGACTGGCATGCGTCGTGAAAGCAGCAGGGGGTGCAGAAGGACGGTGGTGTGGTGCCGGCGAAGGAACAGGGGGAGCAGGTGGACCGGACCGGGACCTGCGGCAGGCGGGAAGACGGAGGACGACAGAGGACGCAGCCAGCTCAAGCGTCAGTACGTCTGGGTGGCGTCGGACGGATTGACAGGCTTGCTTATGGCTTTTTTTGTGCCTTTTTTTTTTTCTTTATAAGATGGACGCTGAGACCTGAAACAGCAGAGAGAGATAGTTGCTCAGAGCTGGAGGCAGTTGTCAGCGGTTAGATAAAACACATGGCTGGCCCTGAAAACTGGCCTGGAGGCGACGGCTTCGCCTCAGCGGTTGTCTTCAGCAGAGCGTCGCGAAGCTGTCCATCATCCTGATAAAAGTTCTGGACCAGGTTCAGGTGAACATAAATCAGAGCTGTCCAGGATCAGCTGCTAACTGCTGCGCACACTCAGCATCTCCCTGTGCTGAAATGTTCATCACAGGAAGCTCAGTTATCAATGCATTTTTACCAACATGATATTTCCACTAATCTGATTAGCTCCTGTATGTAACTTTATTAAACTGGTAGCTAACAGCGCCACCAGTGGTCCGCCGTTTAGTGACTGCAGTCAGACCGAAGGCTCATATCAGAACAAATATGTTCCCACTAGCTTTAGATAATTACTTTGACTTTGATCTGGGTGGACCTGTTGTTGACTCTGTTGTTGATCTGTGTTGGCTCTGTTTGTGGATCTGTTGTGTGCACTCTGTTGTTGGACTCTGTGTTGTGGCTCTGTGTTGGACTCTGTGTGACTCTGTTTGGGACTCTGTGTGTGGACTCTGTGTTTGGACTCTGTGTTGTGGACTCTGTGTTTGGACTCTGTGTTGTGGACTCTGTGTTGTGGACTCTGTGTTGACTCTGTGTTGTGACTCTGTGGTTGTGACCTTGTTGTGGACTCTGTTTGAGACTCTGTGTTGTGACTCTTTGTTGGACTCGTTGGACTCTGTGTTGTGACTCTGTTTGACTCTGGTTGTTGTGGACTCTGAGTTGGATCTGTGTTGTGGACTCTGTTGGACTCGTGTTGTGACTCTGGTTGGACTCGTTTGAATCTTGTTATCTGTGTTGTGGACTCTGTTGGACTCTGTGTTGTGACTTCGTGTTGGATCTGTGTTGGGACTCTGTGTTGTACCTGTGTTGTACTCTTGTTGATCTGTGTTGTGGTGGACTTTTTTCTGTTTTTTGTTTTTTGAACCCCTTTCTGTGGTGCTCTGTGTTGTGACTCGTGTTGGTGGACTCTGTGTGACTCTGTGTTGGGACTCTGTGTTGACTCTGTGTTGTGGGACTCTGTGTATTCCTTGTGGACTCTGTGTTGGACTCTGTTTGGACTTCTGTGTTGGACTCTGTGTGTGTGACTCTGTGTGGACTCTGTGTTGTACTCTTGTTTGGGACTCTGTGTTGGACTGGTTGTGACTCTGTGTTGGTGGACTCTGGTTGGACTCTGTGTGGTGGACTGTGTACCTGTGTTGTAGGACTCTGTGTTGGGACTGCTGGTGTTGTGGACTCTGGTGTTTGTGGACTCTGTGTGGACTCGTGTTGACTCTGTGTTGTGACTCGGTGGTGACTCTTTGTGGGATCTGTGTTGTATCTGTTTGTACTCTGTTGTGGTACTCTGTGTTGTGACTCTGTGTGGACTCGTGTTGACTCTGTGGTTGTGGATTCTGTGTGGACTCTTGTCTGACTCTGTGTTGTGACTGTGTGGACTCTGTGTTGGTGACTCTTTGGTTTTCTTTATTTATGTCACCCGTGATTGTTGTGATCTCGGTTGGGACTCTGGTGGATCTGTGTGGACTCTGTGTTGTGGATCTGTGGGACTCTGTGTTGTGGACTCTGTGTTGGACTCCTGTGTGTATCGTGTTGACTCGTGTTGTGGACTCTGTGTTTGACTCTTACTCTGTGTGGACTCTGGTTGGACTCTGTGTTGTGGACTCTGTTTGTGGACTCTGTTTTGGACTCTGTGTGGACTCTGTTGTTGTGGACTCTGTGTTGACTCTGGTGGGCTCTGTTTGTGGACTTCTGTTTGTGGACTCTGTGTTGTGGACTCGTGTTGTGGACTCTGTGTTGTGACTCTGGGTTTGTGGATCTGTGTTGTGGACTCTGTGTTGGTGGACTCTTGTGTTGACTCTTTGTTGTGGACTCTGTTTGGTGGACTCTGTGTTGTGGACTCTTGTTTGTTGGACTCTGTTTGTGGACTCTGTTTGTACTCTGGTGTTGGACTCTGGTGTTGGACTCTGTGTTGGACTTGTTGTGACTCTGTGTTTGGACTCTGTTGTGACTTGTGTTTGGACTCTGGTGGACTCTGTGTTGTGGACTCGTGTGGACTCTGTTTGTGGACTAAACTGCAGACACATAATACTGTTTTGCACAGGCACTTTTATCTTCAGTGATCGGGAGCTGCTTAATAAGCTAATTTAGTGACCCTGGATCAGATTTCATGTGTTATTTAGAACAACACAACATGAACAGTGCGGTCTGTTGACTTCCTGTCCTTGCTTACGAACTTACCTGCTTACTTCCTTCTGGTTGGATCCTTCTGTGTCCTGCTGTTGTACCTCTAGATAACCTTCTACCCCTCATATTGTCTGAATCGCATGCCAATCAAGCTGCTTGAAGCTTGTCCAATAATACATATAAATATAATGATGATCATAAATATAACAATAATAGTCACACACACACCTGTACTCTGTTACTTTACCATCATATCCGGAATAAAAGCTCTTAAACAAACAAGAAAATTGTATGTTAACAAAAAAATAAATGAGTGACATCACAGTATAAAAAATAATAAACACGCGACAGGATGAAACGTTTCAATATAAAGAATATAATATAAAAATTATGTCAGAAAATGTCTTCTATTAATATATTATAATGTTTTGATTATTATTAATATATTCATTCATTTAATTGATCCATTTTTATTAGATCGATTAAAATTAGATAGTTAGTCGTCAGATGAAATTATTATTTGTTCCCTTTAAATGAACAAATGAATTTACAAGATTGAATGAATGAGTTTTATATGAGGAGAATAATCAATAAACACACTCATCAAGAGGATCAATCAAATATGTCTTTATATTAATATTATAAAGAATATAATGATCAAATAAATAACTGAACAATAAAATAATATAAAAATAAAAAGCGGCCATATTAAAATTCTTTAAATATTTATAACTATTCTTTTATTTGAGTATTTTAAATATTGTTTCAGCTGAATTAAGTGAACGTTAAGCGTGTGCTCTTATTTTGAAAATCATGGCCGGAAGTTGCATGAGGTCATTTGTCGGCGTTTTCAAGACGGTCACGAGCTGATCAATCAATAAACAGAAGCTCCCGATCAGTAATCAATAATAACAATAATGTGTCATTGATGACGTTTAAGTTAAAAAAATCCGGTGACGACACAGAGCACGAGACCAGAACGAGGCTCAGTGGGGTGTGACGTAACAACTGTAAAGATCGTCTCTGGGAGGAGAGGAGTCACTCTGATCAATCAATCAATCAATCAATAAAGGAAATTCATTGTTTTATCAGAATAAATAAACTAAATGTTGTTTAAAATCCAATGTTTATTGTTTATTTGTTGTTTTTAACATTTGTGACACAATTAAAAAATCTGTTGAGCTGCTCGTGTTTCACCCTTAAATATTATAAATAAGTATTATAAACAAATATTATAAATAATATTTATTGATATAGTATAAATAATATTATTTATAATATTAAGTGATATATTATGTATATTATTATTATAAATAAATATTCTAAATTATATTATTTATAATATTATTTATAATGTGAAGTGATATATTTTGTATATTATTATTATAAATAAATATTATAAATAATATTTTGTGATATAATGTAAATAATATTTATAATATTAAGTGATATATTATGTATAAAATTATTCTAAATAAATATTCTAAATCATATTATAAATATTATAAATAAATATTATAAATAATATATAACTTAATAGTACAAATAATATTATTTGTAATATTATAAATAATATTATTTAAAATAATATAATACATATATAATTGAAAAAATATATAACTTTATTCTTTTAAATTCCAGTTGAACATAATAAATATGTTAAAATACAATAATTATATTTATATAAATCAGATGATGATAAACTGAGAACGTGTCACTGTATAGAAGTGTTGTTGTTGTTGTTGTTGTTGTTGTTCTCTGGCTCCAGGAACCGGATCAGAGTGAGACCTCCTGCTGTCGGTCCTCTCTCTGGTTCTCATGGTAACGGTCACCTGCAGAAACACACCGGGACTCACGGAGCTCCACCGACCGACACACCGACCGCTGCCCGGCTCCCGGACACCGACCCCCCGCCCCACTCCGCTCCGCCAACCCTCCTCTCTGCCGCGGATCAATACCCGATCAATCGATACCGGGATCGATCGATCGACTGATGTCCGCCGCGGTGGGTCTGAACCGGCGCGTGGCCTGCGGCGGGATCAGAGGCACCGGAGTGGCGGATGATGACATCAGCGTGTGAGAGTCCCAATCGTCCGCGCGTGAGCTGATCGATCATCTATCAGGTTCATTGATCTCCTTATTGCTGCGCCAATCAGAGCCCCATGATTGATCAGTTGATTAGAATGATCAGCTGATGGTGATTAGTGACGTTTGTTGTCTCTTTAGAGCTGAATTTGTTTATTTTATTATTATAGTCATTTTCAGACTCTGGGGGATGAATTTATTGATTAGTTATTAGTTTGTTTTATTATTGATCATTACTGAACTTTCTGATCATACAATGCTCAAATTATTTCACTGGACAACAGCAGCTTTACAGACTGAACTCATTATTAATCAGTGATTCTTCA